TCAGGGTATCTAAATTGGCACTTCCTGCTTTCCCACAACTGTCAATATTCGACGTGTTCCTCTCTGACAAACAAACTTTCATAGTTTGCATCTTAAAAAGTTTCCAAAATAATTGAAAGGGAGGAAACGAGGGGGAAGGAAAAAAAAATTCTACCTGGACAATGATGTGATCGTGGAGGCTCGTTCAGCTGGCAATTATTGCAGAAACGATAGCCAAGTTTTTGGATTGCCGGCAGATCAGAGCAGCCACCGTTCGGCCCAACCGATATCACTTTTTGTACAGCCGCGAAAGCATTCAATCCCAGCAATGCTAGTACGGCAACCCTCACGTTCCAACCCTGAAATGATCACAAAAATCGATAATATCCTATTGGGATGAACCAAATTTTATTAGAAAAACGCTTATACATTAAACGTAATTTTCCATGGAAACCGGTAAAGTTTCCAGTGTTTGGTGCTGCATAAACAGCCCATTCAGCAACACTGCACTGGCCATTTGCTCTGTGTAACAGCAGTACAAAACGCATATTGTCAATGAATTATCTGTGTGTATTTATGTGTATATACACATGTGTGCGTGTGTGTGTGTGTGTGTGTGTGTGTGTGTGTGTGTGTGCCCTACAAATCTTGCTTTCTCATACTTATCACATTAGAAAACTAAGTTTTCCGTTTTTAAGCTCATATGTCATCGAAACAGTCATAAACTATGAACTGCTACGGACGTCTGTCATTAACTGTTCAGTGGCTCGTTGGATTATTATTAATGCAGACGCTTGGACAGTTAAAAAAAATATAACCTTGGACAAAAATTCATGTTCGCTCGGTAATACGGCAAATATTTCGAAAAGAAATCCCAGTGGCAATAATATAAACAAAATCAACATCGCAATCTAAAGTATATCAAATTTTACGAGGCGCCAACATTTTGGTAATAGCAAATACAGCTGCATTCAGGCAGTTTGCTTGAGCAACTCCTTAGCAAGGGATTTTTGGCAGTCGAATGCTTTTTCGTAATCGATGAATAGGAGACAACGGGAGAATTGGTACCCACCAATCTCGCTAATGGCTCGTTCAGTGGTTCCGATTGCTAAATATATAATGGCATATATCAGAGAGCTGAACCCGACATCAGCTGTTTCCTGGCAATTTTTAAAAGAAAGAATTATCAGCAGCCTAGTTGCTATTGGCATTTGCTACTAATCAGCCAATTTCCAGCTGTTTGCAGTTCTCAAAAAAAGTGGACTACCAAGGGTCTGACTTTTACGGCGCTTGAATTCGTGTAGATGTAACCTGCAGATCACTAGTAACAAACATCCATAGTTTACATTTTTCAAAAATTTCCAAAATACTTGGCGAATTTGGGGACGACGGGGGACGGGGGAAGGGGAGAGGGGGCGAGGGATCTTTTACTCCCCTAAGAACTTAGGTAGCAGTTATTTTACTATAGAAAAGTCAACTTTAAATCCCCTATTGTCCCCCCCAGGAGCCTTTGTGAGGCGGGGGCGACCGTGGGGTAGCGACGGAGGAAAAAGATGAGGTG